ACGACCAGCACAACGACAACGAGAGATCGCGACGACGCTGCCCGCTACCGCGCGAATTCTCGCCGCCAGGACCCGGGACGGCCAAGGGGCGGCCAAGGGGCGGCCGAGGGGCGGCCAAGGGCGAGAAGAATAGCGGTACACGCGTAACCGCGTACACGGCGCGTAGCAGCGTGCGCGAATCGGCAAGGAATCGCTCGTCTCTTCCACTCGACGTACACGTTCCAACAATCGTCACGCGAGATTCGCGTAAAAGCTTCGCGTTCGAAACCGAGAGCGAGACGAAGCGACGTGTCCGCGCCGGTGGTGGTGGCGGCGATGGTGGTGGCGACGTCGGTGGTGGTGGCGGCGAAGGTGGTGGTGAAGGTGGTGGTAGGGATGAAAATCGCGAGGCTAACGCACGCGATCGAGAGTCAGAGGTAGACCGAGAGGCGGTCCGAGGCGGTGTATCGCGCCGGCACCAGAGAGGCGGAGTCACGACGCCCACGAACGCGAAGGGCGTCGAACGTCCGATCGTCGAGCCGACACGCCGCGGCGCATCGCGAGCCGAGCAATTTTCATAAAATCCTTTTTACTCCGCTCGTTCCATTCGCCACTCTCTCTCTCTCTCTCTCTCTCTCTCTCTCTCTCTCTCTCTGCCTTTCTCACCCTCGCGCTCCTTCTTTCTTCTACTCCGTCTCTCTCTCCCTACCACCGCGTCCTCGAGCCCTATAATGTCCGACGAGATCGAGCGCGGATAAGCCGTGTCCGCGACCGGATCGTACTTCTCCGATATCTTCGGAAATCCGCGTTGGTCCGCGTGGCGTACTGACTTACGAACCTACGCGCGCCAGTCCACTCCTCCGTCTCTGTCCGCTTCGCGTCCACCCCGAATCCTCTCGTCCTCCGCCGCCCTTCTCGGCTGGCCGAAAAAGAATATCGCCGCACGCATTTCGTTCATCGATCGTCCCGCGACACGCGAGAAACGCGTTCCTCCCGCGACGTTGCGAAAACGAAACGATGCGATCCGCGCCGTCCGATATATCCCGAGGGAAAAATAGAAGAGGACGATGACAGCCGGCGGTGTCCGCGCGTGGCCCGCGCGTCATCTGCGAGCGTAAACGGGAAACGGAGCTGTACGCGACGGAGCACGCGCCTATATTGCGCCATTTACCGACACGGTATCCCCCTATCGGAAAACCGGACGTAGCGTGCCAGGTAGGAACCCCTGCGAGTCGATAGTTATCGCCACGCCGGAAGTTCGGATCCAGGGAGAGACCCTGTGCTGAAACCCTCCCGCCGACACCATATCCATAGATCATACCGAACCTCTGCCGTCTCCACCCCGCCCAGGTCGCGCCCTTTTGCACGCACCCGCGTTTTCCGTCCAGCCGATAACTCGGCTTTTCCATTTCGAGAATTAGCGCCTCGCCGCTTCGTCTCCGACTCTACGATCCGTATCGGTGTCGTCCAACTGTCCAACTTTGTCCCTTTTCCTGCCGCTTTCCTTTTCCGCGTCCCCGTCTCTACCCTCTTCGCGCCGACGAAAACCACGCCATCCACCGCGGTGGTGGCAAGCGCACGCGAGAAACCGCGTAGCCATTAACTCGGCCGTCGACGCGAGAAATCTCGCGACGAAAAGAGGTAGCAAGCGGACAGGGGTAGACAGCCGAACGATGGCGGCCATCGTCACCCGGAGAATTCCCTGTCCCAGGGACGAAAAGCGCGTGGCGGAACTCGCCGAAGCAACGAAGCAGATTCGCCGCCAGACGAGACCATCTCGAAACGAGAATCGTCGCTTTTCCCCCAAAACTGTTCGCGATTTCTCCGCGACGGGGGCTGGAAACGCGGGCCCGCGCGCGATAATCGACACGCTTTGCTCCGCTCGTTCTTCCGTCTGGGACTACGGTACGCTACGCGGTTCGATCGTCCGTGAGACGATGGAATAGGTCGTAACCGGCGTAACGGAGGACCCGATTATCTCGTCGGGACGGTAGGATAAAATACGAGCGGTGCAGCTTGCCGTTAAGTAACGACGGCGATAGGCGTGGCGCCGATCAGAAAATTGGAGGGTGCAGCGAGGAAACGGCCGGTGAACGCCGCAGCGCGGCGTCGCGGCGTCGTGGCGTCGCGGGGTGGCCACCCTAGCGCGTCGGTCCTCGTGCTCGTCGACGTCACGCTCCGTTTTATTCCTTCGCGAAATTCCTCCACCCGGATCGGGCCAAAGTTTTTCCGATGTTCGAGCGATTCGCGTTTCTCCGGTCGGCAAAGCGTTAGCGACTCCGTAGCAGGCAGAACGCCTTTCACTCGCGCAGCCGTGATCGCGCGACAATAAATCAACCGACACGCATTAAGCATTAACGCATTTACATATCGACGTTCCACCGCGTGCGGCACCGCGCACTAAATCACGCTCCATTTGAAAATAATGCATCCTACGAATTATAAGCCGTTTCGCTCCACGTCTCGTCGTCCACAGTCCTACCTATTTCTCCCCGGCTTTCGGTCCATCGCGAGCCTCGCGACGGCCACCACGGCCACGACGACGACGGCCACGACGACGACGACGACGACGACGACGACGACCATAGGAACGAAAATGCGCTGCGAGAGGAATAGAGGTTAGCAAAAGAGAGAGAGAGAGAGAGAGAGAGAGAGAGAGAGAGAGAAGGATTTCGCGAGAATCTCGATCACCTGGGCTGGAATTGGTCGCGAAAGGGCCGGAGAACGCGGTCTCTTCTCTAATCTAATCGTCGTTGGTCCGCGTTTCCCGCTCCTTCTCACCCTGCGACCGTCTGGAAACGCGCCTCCTCGTCTCTCTTGTCCCGCTCTCGGTCGCCTCGCGTCGCCTTCGCCGCGTCCCGTCCCGGCGCGTCTCGTCTCGTCTCTCGGTCCCCCTTTCGCCGTCTTCCTGGAAACCGGGTCGCCGGTACGCGGTTGTTTCCACGCGTGTAGGTACACGTGTACGCACGTACACGTACGCGTTCGTGGGTGCTCAGGATCGGCCGTAGGTTCCGTAATAGCTCTGTGGGCGAACGAGTCGCGTCGCTGAAAAATAAGAAAATTCGACGAAGAGATCGCCGCGACGCACCGTCCGGTTCTCCGTGCCTCGCGCTCTGGCGCGCGCGGCCAGCGCAAGCTCGCAAGCGCGCAAGCGTGCAAGCGTTCCTACGTACGACCGTCGCGCCGCCGAGAGAAAAAAGGGTGTCGCGTCGCGTCGCGTCGCGCGCGGTATCGAAACGCCAGCGAACAAAGGGAAGGTTCGATCGAGAGAGAGAGAGAGAGAGAGAGAGAGAGAGAGAGAGAGAGAGAGAGAGAGTTAGAAACAAGGAGAGAGAAAGATGGGAGAAGGCGAGAAGCGAGCGCGAAAACGCGCTTAGTCGATGGTATCGCGCCACCACCTACCGTAATAGGTCCACGCGGCCAAGAGGAAGCACTCTCCAAGAGCAACCGAGAGAGAATGGAGAGGAAAAGGAAGAGGAGAGAAAAAGAGAGGGAGAGAATAGCCGGAGCGAAGAATCGTCGGCGGAGAACGAGAAAATACGACGAGAAAGGAGAAGGGAGGAAGGCGAAACATGCCGAGACGAGGCTTAACTTACGTCCGTGCCTCGACCGTGAAATATCGCGAACGCGGCGATCAGGCTAAGCGATGTTCCGCGCGGGATCGCGCGCGATCTAATTTGTTGCGCTTCGTGCTTATTTATGGCGACGCCGCGTTGCCTCTCGCGCCCCCTCGTTCGCTTCCTACGAATCTCGTCGACCCGTTCGCACCGACCCCGCCGTTTCCATCGCCGTTTCCATCGCCGTTTCGTTCCAACCACGACGGACCAACCCGTCGATCGCCGTTTCTCGATCGGCTGCACCGACCAAACGAAATCCGAAGAATTTCCTAAAGAACCGACTCGACTACCAACTCTTCCACTCGAACCGAAAGTCAAAGTAACGGTGCACGGCTCGCGATAAGGCGCACCGGTTGGCGCCACGCCGATAGGGAAACGTCGGGCATCCCTTAAATTCCAAGCGATCCGGCCGCGCGAGGACCCGTGCTCTGCTCTGCCTCTCTTTGGTTCTCGCTCTTTCTCGCCTCTCTCCGAAATGGTTCGCGCGCGCTCCGACGCACGCCAAAAACGATCGCGAATCGCGAGCCGCGTGCCGTCGACGTTGCTCCGATTTCGAGTCGAGTGAAAAATCGTCGATAACGACGGGGACGCGTCCGAGGATACGCGCGCCGCGACGCGATTACCGCGATTACGAAAAAGCGTAAATCTCGGCCGGTAACGAAATCGCATCACCGCTGCGATCACGTCGTCGACGACGACCACGACGATCGCGACGATCGCGACGGTGGCGACGGTGGCGACGGTGACGGCGACGACGACGTCGAGAACGACCAAGCTTTGGACGTTTGGCCGCGCGAGAAGGGATCTCGAGGGCGGCGCCACGTTTGCGCCTGACAAAAAGTCCAGGAGGGGAATAAAAAGGAGGAAAAAAAAAAAGGAGCTCGCCGAGAGCGGCTAACATGGAATAGCCCTTAGCAGGCACGATAGCCACTCTTTAGGCTGATGGACTCACGGCCCCTTACCTTCTCCCTCGGCCCCATACCGCCCCCCCCCCCGCCGCCGGCAGCGGCCACCTCGTTTACCGGCCTTCCATTTCGCCTTCCCTCTCGCTCTTTCCTTCCTTTTGCTCTTGCTGCCGATTCTTCGCGTTTCGTCGCTCCAGCGCGCTCGTCCCAGTCTCGCATCCTTCTTTCGCGCGTCGTTACGAGTCCGTTTCTTTCAAGGTTTCGAAGCTGTTGGCGGACCGGCGGTCCGCTGTAAACGAACTACTTGAGAATGTTTCGATCGAAATCGTGTCCCGCCGAGAGAGTATCTTCCCTGTAGTGCGCTCTCTCTCTCTCTCTCTCTTCCTCCCTTCCTCCTTCACGCCGCTCTAGCTCGCTCTCTCTACCTCTCTCTCCATCTCTCTCTCTCTCGGCCGAAGACGATTTCGACGCTAGTCGTGAATCTTTCGACGATCGTGTCAACTTCTTTTATTCAAATTTTTTACACAGACCTTTACAAAACGAGTAGTCGGTTCCGCAAGGTTCGTACAACGACGCGACGCATCGAATCGACGAAATTACATCTCCTATACGTGTTACGCGACCGAACGAGCTGTCGGCTCGCGCGCTCCTAGATACATATGGCCAGCGTGCCAGCGAATAAATACTTTCTCTCTCTTTTTCCTCTCTCTCTCTCTCTCTCTCTCTCTCTCTCACTCTTCTCTCTTTCTTCCTCCCACCCTTGTACGTACGTTCGATTCTTTGACGTTTTTCGCTTGCGTCTAACGTCTAACGTCCGCGTGAGCTCGCGCGCGTTATCCTTTGCGGGAATTGACTTTGCTACGCACACCTACGCGTACTCGTTTCCTTCGCGAGTACGCGCGATCGCGTCATGCGCTGGCGTATACGGTACCGTGTATCGACCTCGCGCGTATAGTCGACGCGTGGAATAACCGCGTCGGTATACGGGAGCAAAGAAATCGAGTTTCGCGTCGGATGGACGGCGCGCGCGATATTTTACCTTTAAATTTAAACGCGCGACGCAGAGGAAACATGGGCACGCGGGGCAACTAGGGGGTCGAACGCGCGTTTCGCGCGAGAAGCGAGAAAAAGAGACCGATAAACGGTGTGTCGGGCGTTCGATGCGCGTGTTTCTCGTTTCGTCGTAGAGGGGGCGAAATCGTACGACTCGCCTGCGACTTATCCGTCGATACGATCGAACGCGATCGGTAAAATCGAATCAACCGCGATAAAATCGCTCGTTCGCGTAGAGTCGCGGTCTCGAGTTGAACGATACGAATCGTTGCGACTCGTTCATTTACCAATAGACGAAAACGAATCGCGGATAGAGAAAAGGACAAAACGAGGGAATAGAGTAGCGAAACGAGTCGATATCGCTTTCCTCGACCGGAGGATTCGAGATAACGACGACTAAACCGACGGTTCCTCGTATTCGAAACTAGTGGTAGAAAAACCTTTGGTCGGTAAAGAAGGCGGTCGGTTCGACGCAAAGTTGGCGAGTTACCGCTCCAGCGATAGCGGCGCTCGCGTCGCACTGGCGCTAACTTTGATACCAGCGCGCTCGATTATCTCGGTTATCGCGTTATTCTTTTTCTTCTTCTTCTTCTTCTTCTTCTTCTCCTTCTCCTTCTCCTTTTCCTCCACCTTCTTCCTCTTCTTCTTCCTTTTTTCTTCGTCTCGCACGCGTTTGTTCCTTTGTCTCCGTTACGTTCTTTCGGCGTGGACAGCCGTAGTCGAAGTTATAACCGAGAAGAGATCGGCACCAGCGGCTTGACTAGCGATTGGCTCTAGCGGTGGTACGCTGAAAGATGGAGAGACGGTACGTGAAAGATTATGGAGGATGGACGGGAAAGTGATCGGCGAATCGACGCACTTACGTAAGGGTAGTCTGTCGATTGAGCGCGGCGGCGGTGGGTAAAGCGAGGGGCGAGTGCGCATGCCCCGACTGTCCCGTAGTCGGTGTACCCACGGGTGGACGACGCTCGTCGGATTCTCCGTTCCCTCCCAACGCGTTATCGCTTCCGGTCTCGTTCTCGGCCCGATGGTGGTGGTGGTGGTGGTGGTGGTTTCCGGCTCCGGTACTCGTTCCTGTACCAGTACCGGTACCGGTCGCAGCCTCACCCTCTGCCTCCTGTCCGATCTCAGCGTCGACACCCATCCCGCCCCCGTTTCCACTACCACCGCTCCCGTACACGTTCAACTGCAACGAGTCCACTGGAACGTTAAAGAAAAAAGCAACGATACCGATCAAACGTGTCGCAACACACCACCCACGCGTCTGCTCTCCTCTCCGTTACGCGTTTCCTCCCGTCGCGCCAATCTCGTCGTCCCTTTCGCACGGATTCACTCCACCTCGGTCACGGCGATTTTCTCCTCGTCGTCGTCGTCGTCGTCGTCGTCGTCGTCGATTGTTTTATCTCGATCCGGCATCTAACGCGCGCGCCGCGAATCGTCGCCGTTTGTTTGCTCGCGCGGTGTTCGTCCGCGTCGGACTTTGCGCTCTCTCTCTCTCTCTCTCTCTCTCTCTCTCTCTCTCTCTCTCTCTCTCTCTCTCTCTCTCTCTCTCTCTCTCTCTCTCTCTCGCGCGCGCGCGCGCCATTCGGGATTCTAATTCGGAATCGTCCAAGGTCGCTGTCGCTCGCCACACGACTCGCCAGTGCCGTCGACGCGACGTTTCTCGTGGCACGCGCCAAACGAGCGCGGAGGTGAGGCAGGTACACCGACGGTCGATCGCCGAACGAAAAATCGATTCCGAGCGTCGATTCGCGTCACGCGGCGGAGAAAAGGCGAACGGAAAAGAAACTGTACGAGAGAAACTTGCTCACCGAAGACTCACCGAGCAAGTTAGACTTAATCTCGGTCTTGTGCATGCCGCTGGGCCCGGCCAAATTTCCCCCGCTCATTCCCGAATGATTCTTTGGCTTCCTCTTGCGCGTCTGTATCCCGTCTTTCTTCATGCTCAGCGGCCTGTTCACCTGTTCGCGAAGGAAAATCAGTCACAAGCGTGTAATCGGAAGGATGAGAAAGAAAAGGAAAAGAAATGAACAAAAAAGGATACGAAACGCGAAAGTCTCGCGAGACGGTGACTAGAGGCGGCGGTTTAATCGAATTCGGGGAAAAACGCGATAAAGAACATCGGTTGTCCAGACCGTATCGGCGTTTGCGATCAGCGAAGAAATCATCGATAAGGTTGTCCGGTAGATCGCTTCGTGGGATCAACGTCAATTAAGGACGCGTCACGACGCAACGCGCGGCGATGCATCGGATAAGAGTCAAGGTTTTCGTGGCGCGTCGCGGAAAATAATAATTCGCGTATTCCGCGTATTCCGCGTATTCCGCGTATTCCGCGTATTCGGCGCGTTTGGCGCAAGCGGAAAGGGCGGGAAAGACAAACGGCGCGATCCCCGTGGACGCGAGGATACACGCGACGCGTAGATATCTACGATCGATGCACCGAACGCGCCGATCCGAAATAGCGACGTCGACGGGAGATGTTTTCGGTAGGATTATCGAGAGAGGGCCGTCGAGGAGCCAGCGAGATTACGGCCACGCGGCAACGATTGCGTAAGAAAAGTAACGACAAACAAGCGGGATCACGAACGGTGACCGCGTTTCGTTCTTCAATCTCCACGAATCTCTGTGTCCGTAATCGAGCCCCGTTGTTATTCTCTCGGTCGTGCTGCATCGGAAACCTCGTGGTCGTCCAAGAAGCCGACGCACCTTCGATCCAATCGTCGCGACACCGATCGACCCGCTGTCGGTCCCTTATCGCGACCCTCCCCTTCGCGCCGCGCCGCCCCGCTCCGCTCCGCTCCGCCCCGCGCCGCCCCGCGCCGCGTCGCGCAGCGATCGAGTACCTAGATCGTTCCGCGCCGAAATTTATCCGTTTCTCGACGCGCGAATCGCTTCCGTCGCGATTCTCCGTTTTCCGCTCTTCGTACCGAGGAAAGATGTAATTCGCGGCGATCCACCGCGACAGTTGTACAAACAGAGAGAATCGACCGAAAGCGAAACGCGTGGCTCCGAAAAAGAACCGTCTCTCGAAGACTCACGTTGTGCAGCTTGAAGTAGAGCCCGCAAGCGTTGCAGACCGGCTCGCCGCTGTTGTTTCGTCGCCACAGGGTGGTGTTGCTGGTCCTGCAGTTGGCGCACTGAACTCCCGTCCTTCGTACACCGGTCTGCAAAAATGCAACCATCTCTGGTTACCTAGGACAACGTTATCCCCGGTCGCGGACGCGAACTCGCGCGTGTCGATCGTCGCGAGCTCGGGCGCGCGAAAATGGGAGCGTTCGAGACGTAGAAACTAGAGTAAACAACAACCGGCGTAAGTCTCGGCGCGATTGTTTGCTCGGTAACAGATAACGTTCGCTCTTTTTTCCATTTTTCGCGGACAACGCTTGCCGAGCGGGAGAAAGAGAGAGAGAGAGAGAGAGAGAGAGAGAGAGAGAGAGAGAGAGAGTGGGATGCAAAGAGCGAAAGAACGAGAAATTTACCGTAGCCACGGTTTGTTTCGGTTTGCCGCATCTCATGGTTGGCCTGTTCACTCCGTTCATCTTGCCGTAGAGGCAAGCGTTGCAGTAGTAATGACCGGTCTCGTCCTTGCGCCAAATGGTGGTGGGTGTCGCGCAACCGGAACACTCCTTCGGTTCCGCGGTCATCATCGGACTGTCGAAGCTCTCCTCCGATCCGGTGAGCGGGGTCAGATTGTTCCACGGGGAGGACGCGGTGGTACTTCCGGTGGACACGCTGTAAGCACCGCCGGAATAGAGCTGTATGTTGGCCGCGTCGCCGACGGAGATGGCCGTCATGTTCTGGTAACCCTGAACGCAATCGAACGTAGGCGGGGACGGGGTTCCGGTGTTGGCCCAGTACTCGGCCGGGGTGGCAGATTTCACGTAAGGATAGGACCCGGTCCCGCTCCCGTACAACGTCACCTGAGATCCAGGAGACGCAGGTTGTTCGTAGTGCAGAGACGGTATCCCTCGGCCACCGGCCAACGAGGATGCCAACGTCGGGTCGCCCTTCATGTACGTGCTTCCCGGAGACTCGACCTACGAACGAAACGAGTATCGCGTCGCTCTGGCATCTACTAGAGATCGATAGAAACGGGCAAAAGAGCCGCCCTGCTATTCGGTCTTTTGCTTACCCCGGTGACGCGCGAGGACAACTGAGCGGGCGAGGAATACGCGAGAATCACCGGATCGCCGGATTTCGTGAACGTGTACGTGGAAGGCTGCTGAAACGTCTCGCTGCCGGATATGTACTGCGCGTACTGAACCGTCTGCGACGGAGGAATCGGCACCGTTTCCAACGTGGTATACGTGCTCGACACCTTTATGTTTTCGGCCGCGGCCGCTGCCACTGCCGCCGCCGTTATCTCGTTCGTCGCTTCCGTCTCGTACTTTATACTCGCTCCACCCGCGTTCACGTATCCCGTGATCAGTTGATGCTGTTGCTGTTGCTGTTGCTGTTGCTGCGGCTGATGCTGATGCTGCTGATGATGATGATGATGATGATGATGATGATGATGATGCGGCTGGCCCGACGACTGCTGCGCTCCCGTGGTACCCGCTCGTATTGCAGTGTCACCGCCGATCGGCGGCGAATACGAAGACGCGGCCGGTGAATCCAGTTGCACGCTCACCCCCGTTGTCCCCGCGTGAGACGCTATCGAAGCACCGCTCTCGTATTCCTCGCTCGCCGGAACCAGCACCGGCGAACCTTGATGATACGATCTGCCGCCGGTCGATCCGTTTCCACCGTTGCTCGATTGGTTGCTCTCCCGTGGACTGTATCTCTGATGACCGGTCGACTGGACCCGCCTCTCTTGAGCCTGAACCGCATATCGTCCCGTGGTTCTCCCTTCGCAACTGTTGTTCGCCATCCGTCGTGTAAACGTACACGCGGTCCGCGTCCGATCTATCGGGTTCCGGTGTCTCGTACCTTTGGCCGAAATTGTTCCAGTTTCGTGATCGCGCCCTGTCCTTTCGATCGCGTCCCAAACATATTGTAACAAATTTTTCGCTTACCTGACCGTTTCCTTTACCGTCGTCAACGCCGATGGATCCACCGTCTCCGTTACGTCGAGTCGCACCTCTTGACCGTTGCTCATATAAACTACCCGTTGCTCGTTCGGACGATGCTGCTGCTGCTGCTGCTGCTGCTGCTGCTGTTGCTGAATCTCCGCCTCGGCCTGAGAGATTTGCACGAAATGTTGCGACGTTTGCTTGCATCCTTGATCCAACTGCTGCTGCTGCTGCTGGTCGTCCTGATACGTTCGCGACCGAGATTGTTGGCCCTGTTCGTCGACCAGTCGTTGATGATGATGGTGATGGTGACGATGATGAAGCTGCAGACCAGCCGATATAGCGTTGGATTCCGGTGAATCCGGTTCGTGATCGGCCACCGTTTCCGTTATATGTCCAGCCGTGGTGATGGTGCGCACGTGCCTCCTCGTGGTGATCACCGTCCGAGGACTCTCGACGGTGCGTTCCTCTACCGTGGCCATCCGTGGCGAATCCTCGTCGACCACGCGATCCTCGTCCCACTCGCGCTTCATCTCCTGCTTCGTCAACGTCTCCTTCATCTCGATCTGCAACACGAATCGAACCGATCGATGCGAGTGACGGCGCGCGATTCACTGCCGTTCAGGACGAACGCGAACGCGGGGCACAGGGATCTTTCGGCACGCGACCAGCTCGCGCTTTCGCCGCGCTTTCGCCGCGCTTTCGTGGCACGCCGGCACGTCGAACGGAGAGAAGCAAAGACGAGGTCGAAAGGGAGGTGTCGCGAGAAGCAAAAGGTCGCGAGAAGAAAACGGAAGAGAACGTTGGCTTGGACAGGAAGAAGGGAAGGGGAAAGACGGCGCACCTCGTCCGTCTGGAGAAAAAAACCGGCGTACCGGTGTTTACCCTGACTCGCGTCACACTTCCCTTCGACAATGTCAAGTTTCGACTTCCGGACCGCGCACGCGACCGCGCATCGTTCGCTTTCCTCACGACCGTTCACCGCGAGTTTGGTATTCGCGCGTTCCGCTTCCGCTTTCTTCCTTCAGAAACGAAACGAAATCTCGCGTCCCGTATTCGATCCAGACGTTTCCCGAGAAGAGAAAGAGAAATCATTTCCTACCTTTACTCGAGGATCTAAGGCGACGATCGGAGAGAACCGAGCGTTCGTTCCGATCGTTTATCCGTCCAATTTCGTTGCTAGACGCCCGGCTGCACAAACACCCCTCACGCACCGCGTATACCACACTGATCCCCGTTCCGACTCGTGCTCCCGTGGTGGTCGTGGTCGTCTCGTCGGTCGCTCGAAACGATCCAGCGAATTCGCTGTACACGAGTAGCTAAGCCAACACACCGAAGCGGCGTCACCGAGCTACGTTTCTACTTTTCTCTCTTTTGACGGAAAACTGGCGAAAGAGAGGAGGAAGACGAGCCGAGAATCTCTGGCTATCGAGTGGAAAAGAGGCAACGGAGGGGTCCGTTTGTTTGTTCGTCGATAACGAGCGGCCGCTCGCTAGCTCACGAGCGAGATAACGCCTTGTCACGAGGGGTTGGGGAGGGAGCTGGTACGCGCGCGAGGGGATCGCGAGAGGTGTCCGTGGTCTCCCCGTGCTTCTCGTCCTCCTCGTCGTCAGCCATCGTTGTCAACGCCATTTTGTTGTCACGGGCTCGGTACTCGGTGCTCGGTACTCGGTACTCGGTGCTCCACGTCGCACTGGTAGGGTGGCACGCGGTGAATCATTCGCACCCGCTGCTTATCTCGGCTTCCCTCTCGTCCTCGCCCTCTCTCTTTCTCCGCTATTTTCTCCGATCCTTTCATCGCTCTCTCTCTCTCTCCCCCTCCCTCCCTCCCGATCACTCGTTTACCGAGCGCGTCAACGTTTTCTCCGTGGAAACGCGGGAAAATGGAACGATGACGAGAGGACGAACATTTTCGGCCCATTCGGTCGATCCGTCGATCCTCGTCATCCACCGAAGATAACGAACGAGGTCGTTACGTCATCGACCCTCGTTCTGATTCACCTTGGCAAACGGGAAGCGTGATCGCGAAGGTGAGTAAGAAAAGGTAACGCAACGAGGCAACGAAAAAAGGAAGGAACCTTTGGAACCGCGTCGCGACGAGACATACGTGACGCGCAAACGGGGATTACTCGACAAACTCGATAAAAATCAGGAAAGCGAGCACTCTGCCCCCGGGGACGCGTTTCTCGTATTCTCTCGGTGTCGACCGATCGCGATCGATAAGACCAACCTCGCTTTCTCGTTCCCTCGTCGTTTCACCCTTCTCGATCGAGTCGAGCAAACACGCGGGTGCGCGTGCGCGCGCGTTTCCGAGAAACCGCGTGACCAATGCCGTCTGATCGACGCCTTCGAAAACGCGAGAAATCGTACGAAACTTTCCGCGTGGAACGAAAAGAACGAGCCGAGCCATTCATCGATCTTCGCGACGCGTATCTAGGATCGAATCGAAAAATTCATTGTTTATCGGGGAACGAAGGAAATATAGATTGCTCGACGTTGTATCGTCGATAACGGGACGATAAGCAATCGACCGAGTCACGTTCCCTTCTCTTCGCGGACTCGGATCGTGTGCGAGAACGACCGAAGATCGGGAAACCATCTTTCGTGTCTCCCTGCCGACCAACGCCGCGCGAAAGTTCACGCGTGGTCGACGTCGACGACGAAAGGCCAAAGAGTCGTGATCCCAACCGAGATGGAAAAAGGAAAGAAACCGCGAGAGAGAGCGAGCGAGCAGACAGAGGATCGGCGGGGGGGGGGGAGGAAGCACGGAAACGGAAGCGCGGATGTCGGGGCGCGCGCGCGCGACCACCGATGGGGATGTCGTCGAGCCATCGGCGAGAGGCACGCCGTTGTCAAAATAAACGACACTATCGCGATTTATCTCGTTTCCCATGATAATAAGAGATAAAACTGCATCCTTACATTAGCTAGTATATCAGCTAAAATGATAATTTCAGTCGTCGGGTTCGCCAGGAAGGCGTAGGGCCGTTTCTCTAGTTCCGCGGTCGGAGTTTCGCGAGGAGACGTCTCTCGGCGGAGAGACTGCTCCCGAGACGATTTCTTCTCGCGTATACGCGAGTTATCGAGACGCGTAGGAACGCGGGTACATGGTGTGGTGACGACGATCAGAGAGATTCGTGAGAAACGAGCGAGGAAAGAAGGCGACAAAGGTGTCGTTGGTACCGCGAGAGGGTTGCTACCGCGACGAAATCCCGGGCGTCGTTCGGTGGAAACGCGTGATCGTTTCGCCGCTCTGACTTTACCACCCTTCATCTCGCGTATCCCGAACGCGATTCTCGTTTGGATTTTTCGGCAACGCACGAAACACCACGACGACGTCGACGGCGCACAGGGTTGCGTCATGGTTGAAATCGCGAACACGGCGAGGCCATTTTCTTTATCAGTCGAGTAGGAAATTCTTATCGGCGTAAATGAAAATCCCAGGTGAGCCGGTATGGGTGCGTACGTGCTTGCTTGCTTGCTTGCTTGCTTGCTCGCTTGCTCGCGCGCGCGTGCACGCACGTACGCGTGGAACGATATCGAGAAGGCAGAGACGACGATCGCGAAAGAAAAGACATACTTTTCTTTTTTTTCTCGTTGAAACGTTGGTTGGTCGAAGCGATTTGGATCGAGAGAGGCAGAACGCGCTCGCGGTTGGCGCACGCGCCCCAGGGATGACGCGTATCCGTCGCGTTAGTTACGCAATCGCGTTCTTCCTCGAATCGAACGTCGCGTCGTCGCGTGTAATTTTCCATCTCGTCGAGTTATTGCGGGGTTCGATACGACTCGCCACGTTCCTCTCTCGATCGCCTCCTTAGCCAACCGAGCAAACTCGATCGCGAATTCTCGAATCGTCGGCTCTCGCTGGGGTGTGTGCGCGCGTGCGTGCGTCCGTGCGTGCGCGCGTGCACGCGTGTGTGTGGGATCGGTACGGAACGCGAGCAGCCTCTAAAGCTCTTTACGATCGGATTCCCGAGGTTTCTTTGATAACGCGATCCATCGGTGCGACTCCGTTGCGCACGATCGCGAGTTTTACAACGCAATTACCGTAATAATTTACAACGACCGAACCGTCTGTCGGTTTCAACGAATAAACACTTCCTCCCGCCCGCCCACCGTTCGCGGCGACGTCTTTCCGCGTAAACAGCGAAAGCAACGAACCCGGCCCGTGGTACACGCACCCGACGCGGAACGCGTGGCGAACCGAAGCAAGAAAAGGGTCCTTTTGCCACGAGCGTGAAGCGCGCGCTTCCAAACGACCACGCGACACTCGCCAGTCCAATAATAATAATTAACGCTCCCGCGACAAACAGCATTATCGTCGTTGCCCGATATTATTTCATTATCTTACCCACGGCTATGTGCTTAACGATTAATAAAATATCCGCGCAAAGGGGTATCTCGTCTCGATATCGTATAGTTTCGCGGTAGACGTCGTCGAGACGACGGGTAACATTCACCGATACCGCTTATGGCGCGTCGTTTACGTTCGTTATTCCGATCGGCGCGGAGGATCGAGATCGCGATCGCGTCTAACCAAGGGAGGTGTGATCGCGAGGAAGAAATCGTTCCAACCTTCGGATCGTCTCGCCGTCTCTCGTTTTCGTAGAGACCAGGCGAGAAAACGAAAATAGAAGGGAGCGCGCGGTCGCGCGGGCCATCCACGAAAGCACAAGTGTCGTCTCGCTCGATTCCAACGTAAAACACAAGTGTTTCGTTCCGATCGCGTTGGTTCGTGCACGCGCTACCGAACGAACGAGTTACGTCTTTCCAAATATCGCTCTATCCACCTAACCTCGCCGTTCGCGCGTCTCTCGCGTCTCTCGCGTCTCGCACCGTGCCTCGTTTCTCCGCGCCGTGCTGCTACAACGCCCCGTACCCTGTTATATACCGTACCCTTTGCCGCGTCTCGCGTCCTATTCTTTCCTCCTCACCCTTTCCCTATACGCGATCCCTCCGATCTTGCGCCATTTCCCCTTTCCCCTGGACTTTTCCCATTCGTCACCCGTCGCTTCGCCGAACCCCCCTCGCGCGTTTCCTTGCGTCGCTCCTTTACGCGTCTCGACGTCTCTCGTTCTTTTTGGCCATGCCGCGTCGCCGACGAGACCAGACCGCCGGAACGAATCGGAACGAATATGGGAATAGCGATACACCGCGACGAGAAACGTACGCGAAGGAAAGAACCGGCAGCCTAGGAGAAGAAAAGAGAAGAGGAGAAAAACGGCGCGAAAGTAGGAGCGCGCGAGAAGCGGGAAAATTGAAAGATCGAGACTTACCGTGGTAGGAGAACGAAGAGAAACGTTTGGCATGTAGAACGTTTCCGAGATAGAGAGTTTGGTGAACGATAGCGAAGAACGATGATCTGATTTGCGTGTCGCGTCGACGGTCGACGGTCGACTCGCGAGGCAGACGCGGTTACGATTCGAGAGCGAAGGTGGCGAGAGAGCGCGGCGCGGCTTGACACAGGTGCGCTGCCAAGGTGTGCCGACTGATTCGGGTCGGCTGCCGCCTGGTAGCGTCGTACCGAAGCTTCGATTCCAGCAATAGGAGAGAGGGAAAGCACGCGCGACCGCCAACGCTAACGCGAACGCGTTAAATATTGACCGAATACGATTAGGCCAACGGCAGGCAACCTCTCGTCCTCGTCGCCCTCGTCGCCCTCGTCGTCGACGACGCTTCCCTGCTTTCCTATCTCTTCCTCCTCTCTAGCTGCTTCGTTTTTCCCTCGCGGTCCCAGTCGTCGCTTTAACCTCCCTTTCCGATCGCCGCCATCTTGGTCCCGTTGCAACCACTCTTTTTCCTCGACTTTGCATTTCCATTTCTTCCCGTCGCTTTCGCATCTTTTGCCATTTCTTCCCTTTTCGCTTCGAAATCCTTCCCTGTAGTAAAGAGGGAATGACGAAAGAGGAAGGAGGAGGAAGAAGAAGAAGAAGAAGAAGAAGAAGAAGAAGAAGAAGAAGAAGAAAAAGAAAAAAGGCGAGGAATTTATTGCTCTTTCCC